GACACAGTCACAGAACTAGAAATCACTTAATTGACTTCATTATATAGATGAGAAAACTGAAACTAATAAAATTAAATGAACTGCTTCAGCTGTAAAATAGGCAACAGCTAATTAGTGGCAGAGCAGGAACCAGAATCCAAGCTCCATTTTTCCATCTAGTACTTATTTCATTCCATGCTGCCATTTTGGGGGACTTTGTGAAAATTTAATGCTCAATTTCTTGAGGTTGCTCTACAGTGATTGAATTTCTAGTTGTTTGGGGAAAGTGGGAAGGCATAGTAAACCATGATGGATTTGAATACTCAGATGTGTCTCTTATTGATCCATGACTGGTTATTTTAATTATTAGTTTATTTCTGACCTATGTCAGTGATTTTGCCTGCCATTGACATGATGCTACTTATGAAGAAGACTTGGTAACATGGTTGGATAAGTGGAAGTATTAGACACCACATTGCTGTTAACAAAACAGCTCAGTGGAAAATTTACTGAATTCATGTTTTTCCTTTGGCCATTGATAACATCAAATTGAATTAACATATTTTTCAGAGAGCCCAAATCAAGGTTATATCTCATATATAACCAAATCAAGGCTCTAGAATTGGAATTATTGAACCCCTTGAAATAGCATGCAAAATTTTGTGTGTATGGTATATTTTTCTGTCAATAGTGTCCCGTAGTTTTTGTTATTTTTTTCAAAGGATTATCTGATGGAAATAAAAAAATTGAAGAACCATCCTTTAGGGGGTGGTATTCAGATCCATAATAATAGACTCTTTTTCCTCTAAAAAAAGGCTTCCAAAGGGCCGGCCGAGTGGCTCAGTTGGTTAAGAGCTTGCTCAAGAGTGCAAGCTCTGAGTGACAGAGTCCCCGGTTCGAATCCTGGCCTGAGCTGAGCTGCAAAAAAAAAAAAAAAAAAAAAAAATGGCACAGCTAAAAAAAAAATTAAAAATTAAAAAAGCTACAAAACCTTATGGGATGTAGCAAAAGCAGTGCTAGGAAAGAAATGTGGAGCTGTAAATTAAAAAAAAAAAAAAAAAGGCTTCCACTTGCATAACTAAATATTTAAAATACTATCTCTTGGGTTTAATGTCCTCTAAATAAGACTCACCAGAAATGAAAAATAATATATTTATTGCATCTCCACAAATATTATGGGATCGTGTAATTTTTCTCAATGCTTACAGATCTTTTATGTCATTTTATGACCCAACTACTTTTTTTTTAAGTCAAAATTACATTATTTCAATGTATTAAATGTGTAAGTGGGTCAAGAAATTTTTCACATGCAAAATGGTTGGAAGGTGTTAAAGTAAATCTTAATGAGAAGTGGGAATTAGTCTTGTAAGCCTGGATTGAGACACTTTTATGGTTCATGGTCTTTCCCCCTATTCTTAGATGCCAACATCCACCATGCCTCTTTTCCGTGTCTTAATCAGTCAGGGTGGCCTCCCCACCTACACCCACACACCACCCCGTCAGGTTAATGCTCTCAGTTTCCGCTTTCCTAATCCTCACCTTTCACTCCTCTCTACATTTGCTATAACTCTAGGAACTGCTTTTTTAACGAAAAGCAAATCCCGCTATAATTCTCCGTCTTTTTTCCTAGTATTTTCCCCACTTCCTTGCCTTCCTTCATTAATATCCTGTCTAAACCTCCTGGTCAGGAAGGTCAGCTTTGTTCGCTTTGCTGACTTTTCCAACACCCATTACTCCGCCATCCTTTTTACTTTCCTTCAATCTCTGTTCCCCTGGGTTCCTGTCTTTTGCCTGAACCGGCTTTGTGTTAGTCCTCACCTCTGTCATCTACTGAACAACCTCATGGCCACTTTTTCTTATGCATTGAAGACTTGGGCGGTTGGCTTACAATCTTCTTCTCCACCCCAAACTCTTCATGACCACCGCTTACTTGTCCATTGGAGTAGGAAAACACCAAGTGTAACACCCTGTGCTGTCATTTCCTTGACCACCTCATTTCTAGTGACCTTTACTTCTCAGCAATTCACAATAATGCCCCCTGCTTTAAAATCATGTAATTGCACATCTCATTCTGACCACAACCACCTGGTTGTGCTTTTCATGTCATGACCTTTTCTTGACCTATGTCCCCCTCTACTTTCTCCCAGTGCATCACGGTTCGTAATTTCAATGCCCCCCACTCCCACCATTGCCAAGACCTTCAACTACCTTGTTTTCCTGCTTTCTTCTTGTATCCACTGGGTAGAAACTTAACCCTGAATGAAGCATTTAATGTCTTCTCCATGCATTTTCCTGAATTGCTGAATGTTGCTAGAGAAAGTCACGTAGAAAGGCAGAATTATTCTATTACAAATTCATTATCACAAATCTTAGGGGACTTTCAGTATTATCCAAGAATTCCCCTAATTTTTTTTTAATATATGCAACTCATTCTCTTTTGTGCAACAATAATTGAAAACTATTTGCTTCACCAGTCTTTTTGCTTTTCCTTTTTTACCTTCAGTCTCAGCAGGTAACTAGCGTCCATGTTATGGCAAAGATAGCAGCTAACCATTAGGACTCTTTTATCTTCCATATCCTCAGCATACAAACCTGCCCTCTATTACAATAAAAGAGCCTGTCTCCCATCTTAGTTCAGTTTCTACCTGTGCTGTGGATCCCATTCCTTTCTACCTTTTCAGGAATTCTAAAATATCTAAAATGGTCTTTTTTCTTCCTAGTATTTTCAAACAGCCCCTCTCATTTTTTCTCTCTTCCATCAGCTGGTTTCACATCTCCCTTTTGTTACCATTCTACCACATTCCTCACTTTCCAGCCAAGCTTTTTATGAGTCATTTATCCGCATCTGGAATTTCTCACCTGAAGCCCTTTGGACCAGATTTGATTTAGAATTTAGAATTTAGGTGGGATGAGTAAGGGCTACAAATGGCCTCATGTCAGCCCAGCTCAGGTTTTGCTTCCAAATGAGTTATTAAATAAAACAAAAAACCTTTTATTTTTCAGAGCTTTTTGGTTTTGAAATAATGGATGAGAGCTCATAGACATGTGTTACCACCTCTGTTTTCTCATCTTCAACTCATTCTGCTTCTGCGTCCCTCACTTTTTTCAAATGGTTCTTGCCAACTCTACCAATGACGTTTATCTAACAGGATCCTGTCACTGGGTGTTTTCATATTTTCAGTCTTCATTTCACTTGACTGGTGATACCAGCTCCACCAGGTACTCTCTTCCTATAGCTTCCTTGGCATTATCCTCCCTCAGCTCTCTTCTGTCACCTTTTTTTGCAGGCTCCTTATCTTCTATCTTGCAATTAAATGCTGCATTATTCCAAGGCTTTTTTCTAGGACCACGTCTCTTCTTACTCTGTATTCTCTCCCTTGGTGATCTCACTTTTATCTATGTCTTCAGCTACTAATTATGTGCTGATGAATCATATATATGCTCCAGCCCAGATCTCTCCTGTGAGCCTGAACCTTTACTTTATTCTCTTTCTCCCGCCCCTTACTTGTTTACATCATTGTGGTGACTTTCAATTCTGTTAGAAGAAACATTAGGATCTTTGGTATGGCCAAACCAAAGATCCTGCATTGCCTGGCCACTGCATTCCCCGCTTCATTTAACCATACCCTCTTTCCCCTTATGCTTTTACTCCTCTGAAGTACCATGCTGCCTCCTACAACAGGGCTGATATACAAGCTACTCCTGGTGGGAATGCTGTTTCTTTCTGTGTGGTTAATTCCTACTCAAGTTGCTCTATGGAAGTGCTCTAATTCCTGTGCCCTATCACCAAATCTTATGTCACCAGGTACAGGTTATAACACGAAGAGCAGTTTTAATTTTACCTTGTTAACTATTTCAAGCATAGTGCTTGGCACATAGTAGGCAAATAGCAAACATTTTGAATGATTTCTGTACATTATTTTGTCTTTCCTAATTTTAAAAAGTAATTTCTGTATATACAGAGGGTGCCAAAAAATGTATACACATTTTAAGAAAGGAAAACTATCAAAATTCTAATAATATATGCAGATAACAAAAGATGAATACAAGTCACGTTTGACTTCTGCAATTTCAAGAGGTGCTCAAAGTGGTTACCATCCTTAAAAAAAAAAAAAATGAAAAAGTAGGGCCGGCCGAGTAGCTCAGTTGGTTAAGAGCTCGCTCAAGAGTTTGAGCTCTGAGCAACAGCGGTTCGATGCCCGGCCCGAGCTGAGCTGCCAACAGGTGGCAGGAAGGCTCAGATTTAAAAAATAATAATAATAATAAGTGGTTACCATCAGCGTCCAGACACTTCTGATTACGGCAGATTACTGCTTGCGCAATGTTGACCGAAGTGTCCACTTATATGCATATTTTTTGCAACCCCGGTACACACACACACATTTTTTAAGGGATCAAATATATAAAAGCCTTACTTTCATCTGGCTCATAATTTATCGTCTTCCAAGTTCTTAATTTACTTTTTCTACAATGACCTTTCCCCCTATATTTATAGATATCAAATATCTTGCTAAGTTCAGTATGGTGTGCAGGTACAATAAATGCAGTATCCAGCACAATTCAGCAGACTCTCAACTTGTTTATGGTTTATAGGTATCACAGGATTAAAAATAGTTTAGCCATCTGCTAACTGACCAAACAGTTTTAGTATTGTGAAAGGGTGTGGTAGGAGATGGAGGCAGAGGGTCTAGGTACATTGTCAGAACAAGGCTTAGTGCAGAAACCACCTTGTGACCTCTTAATACTGAAACTTAAGAGTCAATTCAAAATTGGGAAGAGATTTGGTGGAGGTTAAGCATAACCAAGGCCTTATAATAGGGGATTTCCCAGAATAGGGTGACAGAAGAATTTTTTTCAGCATTTTAATATTTCACTAAAATTTTTTAGAGAAAATGTGTTTATAAAGACATGAATTCTGTGAAATGTAATTATCATATATACATATACAATGTATAAAATATGTAATGTACATTTCTAAAAATCAACTTTAATTAGCTTTTATATTTTTACTCTTTAATTAGGAAAATCAGTAGATTCCCGGTCATCTCGAAGTGAATCTGAAATTGTGCCAAAAGTTGCTAAAATGACTGTATCTGGAAAAAAGCAAACTATGGGATTTGAAGTACCTGGGTAAGGTTTTTAACCCCTTCCTTTCTCCCACACCCCCCGCCCTCTTTATTGTAATTAGTATTATGTCCTATTAGATGATGAGAAAGAGAATCTGTTTCAATGTTCCATAACATTATTAGCACTGAAGTATCACAGTCTTCAGTAAGTCATAGTAAAAAGAGAAGGGGATGAGAAATTAGGCTTAATTCTGGACTTATCTATGGATGGTACTTAATATGTCTCACTATGAATTTCCTCGTATAAATTAAATGATTTATAGCCACTTCAATTAAAAAAAACCTGTAATTTTGTGTAATGTAACACTGTGAGATAGGGACTCCTTACGCCACTAGATGGCACAGGTAAGCAGCATTTGGAAATTACATGTAGTTGGTGAATTATGAACTCATTAATTAAAATTTTTTTGGTAATTATCTTTAAACTCTTTTAGATTTCCATATTGAATAAAATGTATTGATGTAACAAAGACATAAGATATAAGATGAAACATACCTTGAATTTCAAATATCTATCTAGTCAGTGGAGAGTGATGATAATAAGTTACACATTAGTAGGACTCATTTGTTCTTTCTCATCAGTTTTTAGAATTCTCCAGGAGTTTTTATAGACAAGGGAAGTGGGTTTCCTGAGGCTTAACAGCACAGTTTGAAAACATTAACTCTTAATCTCTTTAAAATGTTTTAGATTTTTAAATCATTCCCTAAATCTGTTACTTAGATGTATTATGTATTTTCTTTGCCAGTTAGATAGATAACAAACACTATGACCAAATTTAAACAATAATGAGATTTTTTTTAAATTAACTTCAAGAAATATAAACTCAGCGGACTTTTGTTTTTTTCTCCCTTACAGTATTCCTCCAAGTCAGTGGATGTATCATGCGTCTTGGTTGAGAATTATAATAAATTTTTTTTTTTAAGCAAGACTTGATTCACAAGATTTCAAATTTAGTGAGGGAAAGAACTCCATATCTAGGACATAATAGGTGTTCAGTGTATGTTAGTTGAATGAGTAAATGAATGGAAAAGTTAATTTTTAATTTGGGTAACTTAGCCCATTAAAATAATTTTGAATCCTGATTCAGTCATAAAAAGCTTAATGTATGTCTCTTTCTAAATTGGGATTGGGTTGTCAGAATCATAAATGCCTTTTTTTGTCCTATTTTCTTGAGTGCACTTTAATCCTATTATGGAATTATTTCCATTGAGAGAGAAAAAATAAATAAAATATACAATTCCATGTTCTAAGGAGTTTATAATCTTAATGCAAAAGGCGTCAGAAGTCTTAGAAAGCAACATGCAAATGGACCCAAATCCATGTATCATATTAGAAGTAAATGCATAGTTATCTCTGTGAATAATTGTAAAAATAATGGAAATAAATGATTAAGATACTTAAAATAAGGAGTAAATACATGTAAATAATTTTTGAAAATCCAACTCTGTACTTTATAAGTGTAGTACAAGTCTTTCAAAATCGTATACAACTATATGCTTTATGAGGACAGGGACCATAAATGGTTCATCAGTGGATTTCTTTCACAGAAGAGTTGTTTAAATATTTGTTGATCAGAGTCCTTGGAGAAATAGTATTTTATTTTAAAAATAAACTTGGAAATAGTACAAAGGTAAAAATAAATAAATAAATAAAACAGGCTGTGAGTTAATATTTTCATGTGACCCAATGGGAGAAGTCATCAGAATGTGAAAGGTCTGTAGGCACAGAAATGCATCACATTGGTCAAGGACCAAGCTATTGGGTTGTCGGAAAAGTCATGACGTATTTTTTTCTGTTTTTTGTTGAAAAAATAAGACATGACTTTTCCGCCAACCTAATATATTTGCTCCAGATACTTTCATAGGGTTTTTTTGTTTGCTTTTGGAAATTTATAGTAGGGATAATACTTTGGCTGTTGTTCTGATATGGCCTCAAGAAAGTACAGAGAAATATAATGAAACATTTTGAGTTAAGATTTCAGCATCATAGATTCCTACATAGTGTGCTTCCCAATGGCAGCTTATTAAAAAAAAAAAAAAGGATATTGCATTGCTTAGAAGACACTCAAACAACCTTTTTCTTCACTAATATTAAAGAGAGTAAATACCTTTCTAGAAAATGCATGTAAGTGAAAATGGCTAGAACCTTATACAGAGAACAAATACCATGTAGTTAACTTCTTAAATTTAAATTACCAGCTTTCCAGTATCATTTAAATCATTCAAGAAGAAACATTAAGCCTCTAGATTCATGTAGAAATATTCCCACTTTTGGAAAGATGGTTTAGAAACAAAACAAACTAGTCAATCAGTCAGTAATTATAGCCCTGAACCCAGAATGGTCATTTTTAGACTTCATTTTAGAGACTTTTCAAAATCTTAAAACTGACTTTTTACTTCTTAATATGCAGAAGTTTTTACTAAGTACAAACTTACCTAGAATGCTTTTCTAATTATTTTGGTCACTTCCCTCTAACACAACAATTTAATGAGTTAATTTCAATTTACGGAGGATCTACTTGAAAGGGAATATTATCATGAAAATGAGAGAAAAGCAAACCTTTTGTGTTACTGAATTGTAAATGAAATGATCAAGTCAGGCCCATGTTTTGCGAAGCCCTTCCTATCCTGAGCAGCCCCTCTGAGAACTGCCTGGAATGGCGTGTTGGCCAAGCTCCTGGCCTTTCTTTATCTGGCAACCATAGCCATTCTACTTTTATTTGTTTTCCATATGGGAGTCAGCATAAGCTTTTGGAAATCTCCTGTAACTATTATAAAAATGGAAAGATCTGAAGCCAGAGATTGTGGGTTCTCCCAGTTCTGATTAGAACCAAAGCCTATGTCTAATCATTCTTGAATATTTTTCTTGTAGTTTGCAGTTTGTAATTTTGTTGTTGTTGTTTTTTTCAATTTATAGTATTACGTTTGATTTCACTTAATTTAACCTGTTGAATTCCTTTAAAAAAATGGGAATATTTTCCACAGTACTCAAGTTTTTCCCTGTAGTTCGGGATGAAGGTAATCTGTCTAAGCAGTGGTAAAAAATGAACACCAAAATTGACTCGAGGGGATTTGCAAAGCAAAATAAAATGGGAACGGGTGTGAGGTTTTTAATGAAGTTACAAATATAACTAACCTGAGTCTTTCCTGAGGTATAGGATGAAGACTCAGTGTCAAGCATATACAAGTATTGAGAGGGAAAAATGAATGTTTATTGGTACAGTGGGTAAGAAGAAAGTAATTTTGCTGTGATCATTAGTGATTTTATCTACTTTTTGTATCTGCCAGCTCCACATTGAGTTGGATATAATTGGCTCCATTCTTAATAAATTGCAATTTAACCTGTTCTTTGTCCTCATTCCATTTATCTATAGTTGTTGAAGGAAATGTAAGGCATAGCATAGTCTGGTGGATAAGATCACATTCTATTGAATAGTACTACTATAGTTTCTATGGAGAATAATTAAAGAGCTAATGAAGAACTGAGACCAGTGTTTACGTTGGGAGGCATCTGCATTGTCAAGGAGAGAATAAATTAAGCTAGGTGGTCTTGTTCCCACTTTATGCATCAGAGCCCCTCACTAGCTTGTAAGCTTTTGGGAGTAGTAGATAACTTTCTCATTTCTATATCACCTTTTCACTTCAACATCAGTGCCTAGTATGTGTTGTAGTTTTTAGTAAATCAAGTATTTGTTGAATTAATGAATTAAGTTCCTTTGCCCAAAGTATGAAGATGTAGACATTTAGAGAGAACTCCCTTGAAGACTGTGTTAGAGCAAAAGAGATGGTGCCTGTCCTGTTAGAAGAATGAGTTAGGGGTAAAACTTTTTTTTTTTAATACTAATTTATCTCCAGGAACACATTTGATGCCAATTTTTACAAAATGTCTTCTTTATGCCATCTGTTTTGATAGGATTGTATGGCTGAGGCTATGCGCTTAGACTTTGAATTTCAGTTATTTTACAAGATATTTTCTTCTTATCTTAGTTTTTCATAGACTGTTTTTCTCCTGGGATCTTCCAAGTCTGTATTTGTGTGGTTTGGGTCTAGCTACTTATCATTTCCACCTTAACAGACGTAGCCACGTAGCAGAGATCATTCTTGGTCTGCAAGTGCAAGGAATATGAAGGGAGAACTTCTCTGCCCTTCCGACATTATAGGACTTCAGTCGAGTTGGTTAAACTCTTTTTTCCTATCTCTGCTTTCTGTAGAGTAACTGCTGAAGAAAATGGCCATAGTTTCCACACATCTCAAAAAGGACATCCCAGTGAAGATACCAGCATGGCTTCCTCTGATGCTCTTGAGACTGTTTCTAGATCAGCTCTTCCACCCCACACCATTCAAGCATCGGAAGAGCAGAGTTCACAAACACCAGTGAAAAAGTTTGGCAAGCTGAGGCAGCAAATAGATGTCAGAGTGGAACTGGAGAAGCGGCAAGGAGGGAAGCAACTCCTCAACCTAGTGGTTGTCGGTAATACCCTTTGTTCTTCTGGATTGTCACTCGACTCCTCTTCAGCCTGACAGCTTTCTAGTGACAGCGTGGAGACTGTCATTTCACTCCCAAGTTTCTCTGTGGGTGTGATGGACATAAAACAAGAGGGCATTGCATCATAATGCTTTCTGGTCACCCTGGGTGACATAATGCCAAGTTACCAAGGAGGTCATTAGATTGGCTGTGACATTTTCATTCTGTGAACACTTTGAAAATGGCATGTCTTATTGACAATTTTAATTCCCCCAAATCAGGGACACTTCCCTCCCACCCAAAGAGACATGCTCTTTTCCCCTTCACGTTGATGTTTTAACTATCATTTGATATAAATTGGTATTTATTACTCTAAACACGGACATGAACTATTGAATTACATATTTATGCAATGCCTCAATGTGAACAACACTGGAAAATGTACCTAATATTAATTCGGAATCAATTTTCCTTAGGTCATGTTGATGCTGGGAAAAGCACGCTGATGGGCCATATGCTTTATCTTCTGGGTAATGTGAACAGGAGAACTATGCATAAGTACGAACAAGAGTCCAAAAAGGCTGGCAAAGCTTCATTTGCGTATGCATGGGTCTTGGATGAGACTGGCGAAGAAAGGGAGAGGTAGTCACTATGTTTCAAAATTTTCCATTTGAAATGATATATAGTCTTTTAATTAAGTATGTAAAATGTGTTGAATATGTGTGAAACATGCCATGAAATATTTGAGACTATGTTTAGAAAAAAGCTTTCAATTATTAAGAAAATACTTTTACTATAGTTTCATTACTATGTACATAATTAATCTACATATGTTTTTACTCTTCCATATTCTACGAGAATAGCTTAAAAGAATGTTTATCAAAAAATTTAAAAAAAAACAATAAAAACACTTAGGTAATTATTCAATGGGAGAAGTTTCTGTTGTTACTTCCCTAAATATATGTCAGATGATCTTGATTGTGAAATTTTAAGACTCAATTTTATATCAGGTTATAAAGGAAAGGCAACTTTTTGTAGTAAACTATCTTCTGTGTGGAATCAAAATGACCCGTAAATGCAAATTACAAGACTTAATTTATTTTTATACTTTCTGTACTATGTTTTTGTGAGACAGAAGTCAGCAAACAAGTGATTAAACCTATCTCCTACCATATAGATTTAATCCAGTCAGGTACTCCTGTATTTGTTACTGTGTTCAGTGCTAATTTGGGGAAGATTGTAGCAGGAGAATGTAGCTACTCATATGCGTCTAGCCAAAGAATAGTATTTCTTTTGAAGTGTTTTTATTTCTTATTTTTATTTATTTTTTTAAAGATTTTATTGGGGGATTGGGGGAGGGGAACAGTGCTGGGGAATAGGGGAAGGGGAACAGACAAGTTGCTGTCCTTTTGTTCTTCAGTCTAGTTGTGGAGGACGTTGCTTCACTGGCCCATGTTGGTATTATCATTGCGCTCTTCCCGGGGGAGGCAGTCGCTCGCCGGCCATTGGACCGGCCACTCACGGTGCTCATGGCAGCCCACTGCAGCCTACGCCGTCACCGGCGACTCACGGCAGCCCAGCTCCAGGTCGAGCTGTTGTTCACCATCTTAGCTGTAGAGGGCACAGCATCACTGGCCCATGTGGGATCTGAACTGGCAGCCCTGCTTCTCAGAGCTCGCACTCCCAAGCCAACTCTTAACCAACGAGCCACTCAGCCGGCCCTTGAAATCTTTTTAGAATGGTGATATATGTCACGTTAGAACTGTTAGGAATGGTGGAGCCAATGGCACCTTTGTCAGGAAAGAAAGAGAACACCTTAATAATGAAGTGAAATGGCAGATGTATCAGCTGTGTCAAAATGATTACTCTAAGACGGAAGTCCTCTGAAAGTCCTAATTCAACAAGGAGTTTACTCTGTTCCCTGATGTCTTCGTTCTGAATATGACTAGAGGATGTATTTGGATTTCCATACTTTTAAAAAATGTGTATGTTTTTCTTGGTGCCTTGGATAGTCTGCATTATGCTATATAAGGTGGTTCTCAGCAAAGGGGTCAACAGTATTCCTTAGCTCTTCTGATAAATAGGAATTTATCTCATAGTGGGGTTTTTTTGCCTTGTAGGTGTCATTTTTAATCTATATATATTATCACAATCTTGTTTTCCAACCTAGTAAGAAAAGTTAGTTGGACACTTGCAAAGTTTTAGAAAACTTATATTGGAATACAGTGGCATTTTGTATGATGTCATATGAAAAAACTGAAAAATTTCCATCTATCTGTTTACCATGCAGATTGTTAAAGTATATGGCTTTTTAGTTTTTTTTGTGTGCCATCTTTTAAATAAGTAAACAGATTGAGAACAGTATAATTTAAGTTAGAACAACTTGTTTGAATTTACTTAATATGTGAGTTGAGCTGGCAAGTGAGTAAATTATCTCATTTCTAGAATAATCAATACTTTTAATGTTTTTGTTTTATACATATGCTAGTTGGCTATCATTTTTGCTGCTGCTAGTTTTCTATTGCTCAGCATGATACAATTTTTAGAATATTCCTTCATTCTGTAGATAGCAGAAGCTTCTAGATACATAATGGGAGTTTTAACTCATACATATGTTTGCGTATTCCTTAATAGCATTTCAAAAATATAATGTGCTTATGCTACCATGTTAAATATTTGTAAATCCTCTATTCTGCTTGTATGTTGAACAGAAATTATTATAATAATAAAATGAGTGACATTTTCATATCCTTAGGCTTACAAATCCAGACCAGATCTAGGTCAAAAGAATAAATTCTGGTCAAAGAAGTCTTAGTTTGTCACTATTCTAGAAGCAGTTATTTGGGAATAAAGAGAATGAAGGATCATTTTCACAAACTCAAATGGCTCATGGTTTCAGATTAAACTACAAAGACTTGACTAAGGAGACCTATAGTTAGTTACCTTATGGCTAGGGTGAACACGTAAGTTATCATCATAATTGTTGGGATACTTGATATTAATAGTAAAAGGGAGTGCTCCTTGATTACTCTGCACTCTTCTGGGCAAACCAGTTGAATAATGACCTAGCTTATTGCTCACCTGATTTCCCCTTCTAAATTCCTGAGGTCTAGAATGACTCAGTACCCTTGTAGTTCCTTTTTGGGCTTTTTTATAATCTGAATCTACATTTTTGTGGCCTTAAAGAGGCAGTACATTGCTCTCCAAGAAGGATGAAAAGGGATGCGAAACAAACTACTGTTCATCTCTCTCAATTTTTAAAAAAATTGGGCATCTCCTTTGATACCTCCTGTTTTCTAAATGTGTATCATATTGACCAGTCTTGTAAATGAAAGTTTTATAAGTTTATTTTTATAATTAATGAAGCATAAACATAGATGAGGAAAAGTACCTCCTGATAGTGGTTATTCTTCATTTTATCTTTTCTCATGTGCAATATTTGTTTCCTTCTTCAGAGATGACCCCATATATCTTTCTTTGTTTGCGATCTATATTGCTTACCAAAAAAGGAAATGTAAAATATCTATCATTTTGATTAAGTCCACAACTTTGTTTTAAAGCCATATGGGTGTAATTCTGTTAGAGCAGAAACTCCAGAAATTGACAGGTTAATTTCTCAAAATAATAGACTATATAATAAAATGGCCATTATTAAGAATTTAGATTGTAATGTAACCTATATTATGAAATAATTTATCCATAACACTGATTATCTATAGAGTATATTCTAACCATTCTATGTTTCGTTTAAGGGGAGTAACAATGGATGTTGGTATGACAAAGTTTGAGACCACAACCAAAGTCATTACATTAATGGATGCTCCCGGCCATAAGGATTTCATTCCAAATATGATTACGGGAGCGGCCCAGGTACCAGATATTTCCTTAACTGTAATGCACTGATTGTACATAAAATTTCCTGATGCTGAGGTTATAATTCTAGGATTATAACTTAAAATATTAAAAAAATTTTAACTTTTAAAAGATTTTGAAAAAATAGAGAAATATACTTTTCATGGTCTTTTTTATTGGTAGTTTATAAAACCTTTTCTAGTTTATTGCAAAGAAGCAAATGTGTAAAAGCTATGAATTTCTTTATGGTAAAAATAATGGTAAAATGCTTGATGAAATATGAGCTCTCCAAGACATGTTGTTGCATAGAAAGGATAGAGAAATTGCCTAGTAAATTTTTGGAGACGGTAATAGGAAAGAGGATTAAGAAGAATATTATGGCTTTACTTATACTAATACCAAGTCAATGAATTTCAAATTTTAACCTAAAAAAGTAAATATACTTTGTCAGTTGTCAGCAAAACCTGATGAGAGATGTTTATTGTTACTGAGCCTAGGATTTGGAAGGTCAGGGCTGGGTGCTTTACATAAACTATATTTACCCCTTGGTGTTTCTGTGAAGTGAGTAAATTGGATACCCAGAGAGATTATACAATTTGTTCGACGTGTGGTGCCTGTTAGTTACTACACACCAGTAGTTAAAAGAGCGAACTTTGAAATTGATTGCTCCAGTTTGTGCACTTAACTAAGAATCCTTGATTAAAAGAACTGGATCTCATTGAAGAAATTAGAGTTCATATGACCATTTTATTTCCCATTATGGTATTATATGTGAAATTATTCAGAAACTGGATAGCACGAAGTATCATTGAGGAAACCACGAAGAGAAAAGCTGTTGTAGGCTTTGTTCTGACCAAAAGGCCAGAGAACTTGGTGTGGATGGAATGTAAGAGGACCTTTGAGATAGGGTAACTATCATGTAACATTCTGAGATAGCTAAAGAAGGGAAGGCCAGATTTAGTCATTGTATCTGGGGTTACTGAAAAGCAGATTTCTATGAAAACGGGTATGCATACATAAGAGACAAAACCTATAAAAGGGAAAAGCAAGTGTTCCTTTAAACGATGCCCTGACAATGCATTGACAGAAACAATTGATGAGAATGAAAACGGAGGAACATCTATGGTTGCACAAAACGTTTACTGCAAATTTTCAAAGGCTCTGCATCCCCATGATGCAAGTGGAATTGCATAAGTAGGCATCGCACGAAAGAGTAGTGGAACCTGCTCAACTAGCATCAGTAAGGCTAAAGAGGAAAATGACCTAAGGCCAAGGCTCACACTTTTGCTTCTTATTTTGTGTAAATTGTGTATGAGAGGAGAAATGTCTTTCATCGGATTCTCAAAATGGTCCACAAAAGTTAGGAAACGTTGTTATTCAGGGTCTTTTTCAGTGGTTGTAAAGGGTGAATGAATATGCTATTTTTTTTTTAAGACTTTTATTGGGGAATTGGGGGAAGGGGAATAGACAAGTTGCTGTCTTTTTTTTGTTCTTCAGTCTAGTTGTGGAGGACGTTGCTTCACTGGCCCAAGCTGGCACCATCATTGCGCTCTTCCTGGGCGAGGCAGATCAGTCACCGGCTTCTGGAAGGCCGCTCACTGCGGCTGCTGGTTGCTCACGCTGGCTGCTGGCTACACATGGTAGCCCATGGCAACCCACTGCCACAGGGGCTGCAGCCTACGTCGTTGCTGGCGACTCAGGGCAGCCCAGCTCCAAATTGAGCTGTTGTTCAGCATCTTAGCTGTAGAGGGCAGTGTCACTGGCCATCATATGTGGGATTCAAACCGGGGCCCTCTGGCGTCCCAAGCCAGTTCTTAACCATCGCGCCACTCGGCTGGCCCTATGCTATTTTTTGATAATTCGCTTATTCAGGTTTTTTTTGTTGTTGTTAATGTAAGCAATGCTGTGACAAATATCTTTGTAGGTCCATAGTTATTTCTCTAGGATGAATTCCTAGAGGTGAAGCTGATGGTAAGCAAAATATACGTATTTTAAGGCTCTTGAAACTTGTGAAATGCCCTCCAGAAAGGTTGTGCGCTTGAGTCCCACAGGCAACGTAGGAGAACGCCCTTTCTCACTGCACCTTTACTTACAGTAAATAATTCAGTCTCTTAAATCTTTGCCAGTGTAATTTTTAAGTGGGAAAAGGGAGGAATATGTTGTTGTAATTTTAATCTTTTCTTTTAGATTTCTAATGAATTTATTTTTTTCATGTTTATTGGCCATTTATATTTCTTCAGCATATTGTTAGTGTCTTTTAACTTTTTTTTTTTTTATATAGAGCTATGTCTTTTTTTCATAAAGACTTACTTGGTTGTAACTTTTATCTTATATTAAAAATATCCCTGTTTACTTATGTTTTAATTTTCTTTTTCCTTCTTTACCTAGATATTTTAATTATATAAAACGTTCCAAGGAACATTTTTATGTCTTTTTTTTTTTTTGGCTGCATGCTAGTACTTTTTTTTAATTAAAAAATTTTAATCCACCTGTATAATTGTTTTGTTTGATTTGCTTTGGTGTTTGGTGTCAGGTTAGAGCCTGCCTTTAAAATCTGACCCACACAATTAATTGAAAAATTTGTCCTTTGAATTAAAAGGCTGTGACATTATTTATAGTTTTGATTGTTTTTTTTGTTTCCTTAGGCAGATGTAGCTGTTTTAGTCATAGATGCCGGCAGGGGAGAGTTTGAAGCTGGATTTGAGACTGGGGGACAAACACGAGAACATGGCCTCTTGGTTCGTTCCCTTGGAGTAACACAGCTTGCAGTTGCAGTCAATAAAATGGATCAGGTATTTAAAGGCTTTTATGAGAATTTACTTTAGTTGCTAATTAAGATGTTCTTCTGCCATATTGATGACCTCATATGAGACTAGTGTGCATTTTATTAGTCCAGTTGCCATATTTTAAAAAATAAATTCATGATCCTGATAATGCGATATAAGTAATCTGTAATCTATATTCCCAACTTCTCTTTCCCCTTAAAAAACTTGATACTTTTCATTTTGTACATCCATATAATTTATTTTTATAGATACGAATCTTTTTCTTTATAACATTGAATTATAATCTTTATCTGCTTTTTCAAAAAAATTTGACAATATATTTGACAATATTCTTGTGCATGTTTCCAAGTAATTAATAATTTTTGTATAAAGAAGTTTTTATAACTTTAGTCTATGTTAAAGATATACTATAATTTATTCAGACAATCCCCTACTTAGGAATATTGCCAGTTTTGTGTGTATGTGTGTATATGTGTATTTAGAAATAGTTTATTCTATGGAAATTTCTGGCCTTAAGGGCATATACATTTTTTAGAATTGCTGTACATGATCAGAATGCCTTTGAGAAAAGTTCTGGTTATTTCCCCTTGGCACCTATGGTATATTTACTTTCTTGAACTCTTATCGACACTGCTGTTATTAAAGGATTATTTTTCAATTTGTTACATAAAACATATTTCTTTTTTAACTTACTTCTCTATGAATGTTAATAATATATAAATATGCTTTGTATATTTATTAACCATTTGTATTTTTTCTTTTGGAATTATTTATAAATTTGCTCTTTTTTTTTTTTTTTTTTAAGCTGAGCCATCTTGCCACCTGTTGGCAGCTCAGCAACTGCTCAGCTTGGGCCAGCAATCGAACCACTGTTGCTCAGAGCTCAAACTCTTGAGCGAGCTCTTAACTGAGCCACTCGGCCGGCCCAAATTTGCTCATTTTTATAACTTATTTTCTTATCAATCTGTAAGCGTAATTTATTTATTTTTATTTATTATTTTTTTTAAGATTTTTATTGGGGGGATGGGAACAGCGCTGGGGAATTGGGGGAAGGGAAACAGACAAGTTGCTGTCGTTTTTTGTTCTTCAGTCTAGTTGTGGAGGATGTTGCTTCACTGGTCCAAGTTGGCACCAACATTGTGCTCTTCCCGGGTGAAGCAGATCAGTCGCCGGCCTCTGGATGGCCACTCACTGCGGCTGCTAGCTGCTCACGCTGGCTGCTGGCTACACACGGTAGCCCATGGCAACCCACTGCCACAGGAGCTGCAGCCTAGCCGTCGCCGGCAACTCATGGCAGCCCAGCTCCAGGTTGAGCTGTTGTTCAGCATCTTAGCTGTGGAGGGCAGTGTCACTGGCCCTTATATGTGGGATCCGAACCGGGGCCCTCTGGTGTCCCAAGCCAGTTCTTAACCATCGCGCCACTCGGCCGGCCCATTATTTATTAAAGATACTAATCTTTCATCTTGTCTTAGATATTTTTCCCAATTTAGTATTTTACTTTTCATTTTGTTTGTGGTGTGTTTTTGATATATATTCAGCTTAATAAATATTTCCTTTTGACTTCTTTCTTCATGCTTAGGTATTTTCTTACCTTGGAGTTGGATGCATATTCGACTATATTTTCCTACATAGTTCTTCTAGGAGATCATTATCACATATACCTTTTATTTTTTCCCAGGATTTTAGTATGAAAATTTTCAAATATAAAGAAAAGTTAAAAGAATTTTACAGTGAACACCTCTATTATACGCACTACTTAAGATTCTACTACAGCTTTGATCACATCTTTGTCTGTCTACTCCTGCCTGTATCCATCCATTAATTCATCTTATTTTGATATGAATTTCCAAATGAGTTAGACATTTTTACACTTACCCCTTAATTCTACAGCATGTATAATGTTATCTAGAGTTCATATTACTCTATGCATTTTTAGTCTATTTGGCTTTATTTTATTTCAGCGGTTTGTCCAAGTACAATTTAATAAATTATTTACTTTTCCTTCCCAAATTTGAAATCACTTTTAGCACTTTCAGCATATACAAAAATTTCTGTATGTATTAGAGTTTGTTTCTAGGCTTTCTGTTGTAGAAGTTACTTTTAGATCATATTAACAGTAAGTGCTGATAATTCTGTTTATTTTAAAGGATTTTATATTTAATAGGTTTTATATTTTACATTCTTTACTATTACGTTTTGTTGCAGAAATATAAATTTTATATTAGCATGGTCTGAAGCATAGTTTTAAAAATAAATTGGATCTTTATCAGGTTAATTGGCAACAAGAAAGGTTTCAAGAGATTACTGGAAAACTTGGGCACTTCCTTAAGCAAGCAGGTTTTAAGGTAAGATAATTTTAAATTGATTTGGTTACTACCCTTAAGCCTTATTTTACTGATATGAGAGAAAAAAAAACTAATACTTTGGTGTTCTTGTCTTGTTAAGTATCTTTAATTCTTTTTGTTTTTATTTCCTCTGGTATTATGTACATATTATCTTATGTTCTTTGGATTACTGTACCTTAACTTGATATGTTTTATAAATTGGCTTGGATTTAATGTAAGGAAAATACTTTTTCTTCACCTATTAAATTAGGTGAGTAGGTTTAGGGAGGTCCCAGAGAAAAGTGGAAACTAGTAGAGAGGAATTTCTCCAGCAAAAATGTGAAATATGCATATGTTACTAAGTAAAAATGCTTGAATTTTTGGGAACAAATTTGTAAGTTTCTCACAGAACGAAAAGAGTTGAAAACGTTTGGATCAGATAACTTCAAGATTGTAGTTCTGTAATTTCTATTATTTTTTAAAATGTGCATTGTTGTTGCTTTTATAAATTTGGTGCAGTTTGGTAATGGTGAACCGTTTAATTTTTTTTAAAAACAATGTTGTATTAAGTTTCATGTATTCGATCTTTTTTAATAGGAAAGTGATGTAGCTTTTATCCCTACAAGTGGTCTCAGTGGTGAAAATCTAATCACAAGATCTCAGTCGAGTGAACTTACAAAATGGTATAAAGGACTATGTTTATTAGAACAAATTGGTAAGAATACAGTCTTACTAATTGTAATGCATTATAAACTTGACATTAATTATTTAGAGTTCTTTATGGGAGACAGTGTTGTGTGTGCAGAAGCATAGGATTTGTACTCAGAAGATCAAGTTAGTGCTTTTGAAATCACATGCAGTATTTAAACTAACACTCAGTTTTACTTAGTTAATGAGACTCATGCTTACCCTGCCTGCCTCATAGATTGTTGTTGACATTAAATGATTTAACATGTATGAAAACATTTTATAAACTACAAATTACTATATGCATGACAGTCAATTTGCTATTAATATTTATTTTAAAAAACTATTTTTTAGGAGACATGGGGCTATAATAGGCTCATTGGACATGAGTCAGAGATTACTTTTAAATTAAAACTTGCTTTTTTGCCATTTTTTCCAGATTCCTTCAAACCTCCTCAAAGATCTATCGATAAGCCTTTTAGATTATGTGTATCTGATGTTTTCAAAGGTAAGTGCTACCTCTCCAGTGCTTCTTCAGTATGACCCCTGCCTTTCTGTTCTCTACTGACCTCTTTTCTTGGACAAAATTATTATATTGCTTTCAGATTCTCCCTTCTTTATGCCAATGTAAGGATCTTTGCCAAATTTAGGTGCACAGTTCCGGTTACTTAACTCCCCTGCCCAGAGAAATCTTCAATTTACTCACCATTTCCCCATCTCATATTTATCTTCCAGGTGTATGTGTGTGTGTGTGTGTGTGTATATATATATATGAACTTTATCCTTTATCTCTCTAGCCTCATAATTTTTTTCTCCCATTAGATCCCTTTAGTTTCTGGATCGTTCACTATTTCTTAACCACAAAGGAGGGTCTTGATTGCCAACATGTGTGCCCATGTTTTGCTCCTCTTTCTCTTTATTTTTCTATTTCCTACCCATCGGTAGGAGTCTGGGTCCAATCAGGAGCTAGATACCACACATAGGTAAAGTGTGAAGTTTAATATACAGAATTATTAATATGATAAAAGAGTGACTATGAAATATAAGGAAACTACATAGTACCCTAGGGCTGAGGAAGAACACCCACGTCAGGACGAACTGAAGGGGTCCAGACCTTCAGAGAAGGTGTTGTGTAAAATACCTAAGAATCCTTACAGAAAACTATAAAATGGAAACGGAATAAAAGATCTCAATAAATACAAGCATGCAACCTTTATATATTAGAATAATCAGTACGGTAAAGATGTCAGTTGTCCCCCAAATCTCCGCTATCACAGAGCAGACATTCAAGGATGGGTTTGGAACTGAGGAACAATAAATTGATAACTGGTGGGTTCCCGAGCACATGCTCTAAGATTTTCCTCTGTGTTCTCTGTATCCTTTATTGTGGCGTTTTTCATGCAATATTATAATTATTTCTGTGCTATCTGTTTCACTTTGATCGCGAACTCCTTGAGAGCAAGTGCTGTCCCTACCATATCTATATCTGCAGGCGCTAGCTCAGTTCCTGGCACATAATACATGCTTAATGTTTGATAAAGGGATAAATGAATGTGCTTCACAAAAATTATTTAATGAAATTGAAATTTATTATTATTATTATTATTAGCTTCCAGCTTTCCACTAGTAGCGGAGGAAATATGATGATGCTTTCCAAATTACTGTTATTAATTTAAAACATAAGAGGTGCTTCATTTTATTTTTGATTAACAGTGTTGTTAAACAATGTTCTCTCTTCAGGCTATTTTCTGGCCCTGCCTACACTGCTCTCCTCAGTATGTTCCCACTAAGGTTACTAAATGACCCTTTGGTTGCCAAAGACAATAATAACATTTTTCAATTATCTTACTCCCATCTTACTTGAATTTGGCATTACTTCTGAGACTGATAGCCACATCTGCCTTGAAACTTTTCTGCTTTGGTTTCTTTTCTTTTTTTTAATTAAATTTATTGGGGTGACATTGGTTAATAAAATTTTATAGGTTTCAAGTGTACAGTTCTTTAATACATGATCTGTATGTTGCATTGTGTGTTCACCACCCAGAGTCAAATCTCCTTTTGTCACCATATATTTGACCCCCTTTTCCTGTCTGTGTCTTTGACCTCTCTGTATCTTCTGTGTGGATTCCTCTTTCTCTGTCTCTTAACTAGCGTCTATTGCTTCAGTTCTCTTCTTACTCTATACCCTCCTTTTGGACAGACATCCACGAGTTCATCTACCTCCTGCGTCGTGATGCTTCCCAGATCTGTATCTCCAACACAGATCTGTTCATACTCTCCAGATAAATGTGTTAACAGTTGGTGGACATCTCCACACGGGTCCTCCAAGGATTCCATTCTCATGCAATTTGTGTGATTCGTGCCCCATGGAATGCATCTTCACCTGTATGTCTTGCAGACACTTCAGATTCCCCAAGGCTAAAATGGATCATGTTAGTTAATTTCCTATCTCACAGTTCATGCATTGTCAGTACATTTCTCCCTTTATGCCATTATCCCTTACTTACCTGATCACCCTGAATCTGTTATATTTTCTTTCCAAATTTTTTAGTTTATTTCCTTTCTACAGCCACAGGGTACATTTCAATCAACTTTCCTTCCTCTCTGACATGAAAATACCATGTCCCTTCTCTGTTCACAGCCTTTTACTGGCTCCCATTACTTAACTGAGGATGAGGTTCAAGCCCTAAGCATGATTTTCGAGGCCCCTTTATCATTTATCCCTTGCCTACCCCTGTTGCCTCATGTCTTGCCTTTTCATTATTCCATGTGGTCCCATAGAAATTCCATATAAATGATACCTGGGTCTTAGCATTTCCTGTGCTAAGCACATCACTGTGCTTTTGCATATGCAGTTTCCTTCTTCTCCTACCCATATACACAGCTACCTGGCAACTGTTCCTCCTTCTTCTAAGTGCCCAGCTAAAGGGTAATCAATCGTTCCCCTCAACATGGATTCTTCAGTGCACCTTTTTCTGTTTCTAGTGTACATTATAAATAATGTTTGTCTCCAGACAAGATAATTGTTTTTGTCTTTCTCTTCACTAGTATAACCTCCTTATGGGTAAGGACTTATATGTTCTTTCTTTCTTTATTCCCAGAGTATAGTACAGTGCCTGGTACTTAGTAAGCATTCTATACATTTTTGAAAAAGGAATAAATTCCCTCTTTTTGTAATATAAATATTTTTATTTGTAAGAAAATCAAGAGTAGAATGTGATATGCCATATTTAGTAGCTATGTTAAAAATTCTGAGATGATAATTAATGTTCATTGAGCTACTCGTTTTATGTAACTACTAGGGAAGTAAATAGAGCTAACAGTATTAATCATCAGATAACATTGCTGTATGAATCATTGTAAGATTTGGGCTTATTTTGCAGATCAAGGATCTGGATTTTGTGTAACTGGTAAAATTGAAGCTGGCTATATCCAGGCTGGTGATCGACTACTAGCAATGCCTCCTAATGAAACTTGTACTGCAAAAGGTATTCCTCTGTAAGATTCTTTTGCTAAACTGCCCTTAAGTTGAGACAGCAGATTTTAAAAAGTAGTTTAGTTATTAACTCTAGAGTAATAACCTCTTACTGAAATTGTAACTGACTGTCAAAATGATACTAACTGTTGAAGATAAAAATGTGAAAACATTAAACGATTTTTTTCTCTCGTGACTATGTGTATATATATGTACATATAACATTCTAACTGTGGTGGCATTTTTGTTTTTTTGACACTGATTCGAGAAACCTGGTTAGGATTTAACCAGATGCATAGACACCTGACAGATACGTTTAAAATAGTATTCAGTAGCAGAAATTAAATCTAACCCCATCCTGACACTAAATAGTTAAGGGCAAAGCAGACGGCTACAGTCTGTTGTTTTGAAACGTGTATTTCAGAATTACTATACTTAACAGCTTTGATCCTGTTTATACCAAAAAAAAAAAAAAAAGTATTTTACAGGAAGACCTAAGAAAATAAGATGTAAATTCAGAGAATCCTAATGTTGAAAAGAGAAATTGAGCTAGTTTAAAGTGCCACATTACTGCTTTTGCACATAATCTATGACCTTTCATGATGACTGATAATCATTTGACCTTACATGTATACATGTTATTTTTTTCTGAGTTCTGCTTAAAAGTTTATAATTTTATACTTACCTTAAGACTAAGCCTTCCAGCTAGGCCTCTGGTTTCAACATAAAACTGAAGATCTGTTTTATGCTATAAAATACTGTTATTTATAACAATATTAAGCTAAAGTTAATCTGGGAATGTTAACATTTTTAAAAATATCAGTACTTTTCCTTCGTTAGTCTCATTTATAGTTTATATCCAGAGTTGTACCTGATTAGCTTATAGATTTGTACATTTTCTTTGAATGCTAACTTCAAAAGCTGATTTTCTAAAGACTAAGAAATTAATAAATATCTGTTTAGGTAACAGGTTAACCTACATTTAAAGATGAATAAGGGAATGACAGCCAAAGTTATTTCCATTTTATCTTTTTCTTTCTGCTTGCTTAGAGATCATGGAAACTCTGTTCAGATATAAAGTAATACACACTTTAAAAAAAATAATCACTTTAACATACATGTGTTGTTTGCAAGTTCAGATCTCTGTTTTTGTCTTTTAAAGTGATCCAGAGCGTAGGTACTTTTGAAATACTGATTTCTTTATATGTTAATAAGCTTTTTTGAGAATAAGAAATTTTTTTATGATGAGTTGATATGAGTGAAAACCATAATTTTAAAACTTTCCATGGACCTTATAGATTGACTCCTTTGTGACAATTTGTTCACTTCTGAAAGTCCCACCTTCTTTCCCTCCCTCCTTCCTGTTCCTCTTCCAGAAAAAAATCTAACCATTTATCTTTAATCTAGTGGTTCTTAAAGGGAAGCCATATCAGAAGCAGCACCCGGGGAGCAGCACCCCACTCCTTGAGAACCATGCTTCTAACCCAACTTGGAGGCTCTCAGTTCTCAATTCCTAATCCTGTTACTTTTGCTTGATTTACTTGGTCGTTGAATGCACACTTTTATCTGAGCACTTTAGGTGCTACTGTGGTTCACTAACCAGTGGCGTCCTAAAAGAGAGAAGTGAGTAAATCTGCAACCAACAAGTGGAAATTCTTAATTACGTTTTTACTGTATTAACATATCAAGTTCATTGAGTGTTGAAAAAGAACTTTTTTGTGTCTGTCCAATGAAGAAGGTCCTTATGAAGACAAATGTCATATATAGGACAATGTAACGTGTTTGGGTGGAGAAAATCAGATTATATATTATCTTTAGGAAATTTTATGTTCTGAATTAAACTTCTTGTATGAAAGCTCTTCAATCTTAAGTTAAGGCCGTCTCTATTATAAAGTAGCCAGCTCCTGTCTTCAATTCCACAGTTCATAGAAGAATATGGTCATTTAAAATTTACATTTAGAAACTAAATTTAATTAGTTGTAAATTTAACATGCATTCCTTAATATCATAATGGTTAACAATTTTGGAGTCAAGAAACTCTTTGATACCTTGATGGAAGTTATGGCCCCTCTTCTAGAAGTAATTCAGATGTGCACATTAATGAAATTTTGAATAAAATGCAGGTTGTGTCAGAGTTCTTAAAATTCTTGTACTTTCAAAACCTCTTAAACCTACTTAAGAGTATGCTACATGGGAAAAATAAGTGTTTTCAGAAAGATGTGGGTGAATGTTAATTTACTAAAAACATGTTAATCAAGAACTAGTTGTTGGCCTACATAATGCCTTCATCAAAAGCCTAAAGTTCCAGTGGAAAGGAACTTAACCCATAAACTTACCCCACAGAGTCATAAAATATGAGATTCCTTTTTAAAGTCTTTAAGATAGCTGAGCATTGCCCTTTGCAAGTATTCTCCAGGATTATCCCTGGGTAATAAAGGTATATAACAACACCTGAGATCATTTTGAAATTAACTTTTTTTACACTATGAACCTCTTCCTTTTCATATAACCAGTTATCATTGCACACATCTCTCTCTGGGAAGCAGTTTTTTTCAGACAGGAATTACCGGAGGGGTCTGCCAAGAGCACCTCTGAGAGCGCTGGTGCCCTGTGGGTTGCTGGGAGACAGGCGATGGTTTAGGTGGTTCTCTAATTAGGAATAAAGCTCAAGACCAGGCACCTTTCCCAGTCCCATCTTTTATGTTACTAAAAAACAATTTGAACTGTATTTATTTCTGCATCCATTAATATAAGAGAAATATTTGAATGGGGCCTGCTTAATGAATATAGTCAGTTGTGTAAACGAGTTTAAAATTCTTGATTAAAATAGCAGAAATCAGCCTTTTATGAACAAATACAAGTCAGTTTATGTTTAGGGTGGTGTTCTAGAAGAGTCAAGTCTAGAGGAAGTGTGTTTTCCTCAACGCTCACAATTACCCTTCTCACTCTCAATCCATTCATATTGAAAATGATGAGTAGTGACTGGTGAGGCACGAATCAGCCAAGCTCTCTGGGTTGTTATGGTTCGATATTGAGGTGTTTTACTGTGTTCTTCGGTTCTTACTCATTTCCAGGAATCACTCTGCATGATGAACCTGTTGACTGGGCGGCGGCAGGTGATCATGTTAGCCTTACGTTGGTTGGGATGGATATCATCAAAATCAGGTGAGTGGGAAAATGAGTTTAAGCAACCGTTGTTTTGTATATCGGACCTCAAAACACATAAATTTTGCAATTCACCAGTTGAAATGAAAGAATGAGTATTAAATTCTAAATCTCATTTGGCCCCAAATCGGCAGTTGTTGGAAGTTTAAGAATGATAAGAAAAACCTACTTAACATTGAAAGTAATCTATGTCAGCACACATACTTGACATGTTCTTTGAGTGAAAGCTATGTGTGAAAATGATGAAAGGCTAACAGTGGTAATAAAGCCACACTTTAACCCAGAGGGTGGTATATAGAAAAAGTCCCTAATTTGCTTGATCATTTCACTTTGCACATGGTTTTAGAGGTGTATTTATTTATCCCCCAATTACCTTCTCTCCCTTTTTTTTTATTACAGTGTTGGCTGTATATTTTGTGGCCCCAAAGAACCCATTAGAGCTTGCACTCGTTTCAGAGCCCGAATCCTCATCTTTAATATTGAAATTCCTATCACTAAAGGATTTCCTGTAAGTTCCAAAATGTTTAATTGTTATCACTGTTAAAAATTCAAAGTCACTTTATCCTAAAAAGTGATAATTTTCTTCACAAGCGGTGATGCTTAGTGGTTTTCAGCTAATATCTTAGTCCTCTAATCCAGAAAGACATGAAATTAGGATTTGAAAATCATTTTTATTTTGATGCTTGAACCTGAAGATTTTCTTCAAAGAAGCATTGAGAAGAAATTTCATAATCAATAGGATACAAATGATGATGATAATAAAATTCATGTAGACAAAGTGGTAGATACTTTTCTGCTGTTTTCTGAAGGTTACCTGACTAATCTTAGATTGGGTCTTTCTGTTTTTGTTTCATTTTAATATGCTTATTTGTAGCTTTTGTGATTGTAAAAGTGATACATAATTATAGAAAATTTTGGAAAACACAAGAAAATAAAGATACTAATGTTCTAGAATTGTATAGTCCATAAATCTGTGCTCATTACATTCCAGTGTATTTTTCGGTGTACATGTTCACCCATTGGTGTTTATGGGTTTATTCGGGGGGCACTTGACACAGGGTAAACCTTATTGTGCTGCAACAACATCTTCAGACGGCATGCATGCTGTGAGATTGGTTTGCAGGTTTTCATTGACCAATGTCATTTGAGCATACACATTTATGGGAAGCAGGCGATTTTATACTATAATGTCACTTACCCAGAAAGATGCTACTACTTGTGCATAGCATAAATTCCTTGTTTTATGTGTAATTTTTTTCAGATATTTGGGGATATATTCTGTTTATAGTTTGGTACCTTGCTTTTGCTACTTAACAAATGAGCACTTTCCGACTAGACTTTTTTTTTCTTGATCAGCTTCTGTAGTATAGATTTTGCACAACAGTAAAAAGTGTTTCTCAGTGGAATTAAATGGCCTGCCTTTGCAAATGTAAACAGATTATTTTACCATTTGACGTCTTTGCAATAAATAATAGTAATTGACCTTTAAACTTTAAGTTAGTGGTAGTATTTTTGAGGTTGGAAATAAATTTATTTAGCTCATTTAAATTTATTTTATACTTACGCATTTTTATTTGCGATAACCACGTGCTTTGCTTATAATTCTTTATAATTATTTCTATGTAAATTTGATCATATAAAATTATATTTATAAGATACTGTTTAAATATTTCAGTTTTATAATTATATTCCATTTCTCCCATATGCTAAAAAGAGTAAAAGCTTCTCTCCAAAAAAATTGTTACAGTTGAAAATATTTAATTTTTAAACATTCAAAATTCATGTGGCGTGATAGTCAAGAAACTACAACTTAATTGTTGAACAAATGGCACTCATTCTTAGAAAGCAGTATGGCCAATGGAGAGGTTGGTTACTGCATGTTTTTACTCATGCAGTGAGAATCTTTGCCAATGGAGAGGTAGAGAGGTCAAGAGGTTAATGGTTACTTTGAATAGTAATACTGTCTTCCTGTCTACTGTAGTTTCTTAAAAATAAGTATAAATTGAAAGTTTTTCAGTGCTGCGCATATATTGATTCACGAATAGCAGGATGAAATTTGTTTCAGAAAAAAAAGGATGTTTTGTCGTCCATTCCCTGTGGGAAGAAACCTTAAAAAAAATTGTTTTTCAATCAAGCAAAGACTTCCTAAGCAATTAAAATTTTACTGTTTAGGAGTGAATTCCTTAATGCTATATAAATATATTTGTTTCTCTTGGTTTATATGGTAAACTCTATTTAAGAAGGAAAAATAGAAGAATTTAACTAAATTCATGTTTGATTTTTTTTTTATTGTGGTAACATATTCATAACATAAGACTTACCATTTTAACCATTTTTAAGTATACAGTTCAGTGTACAGTTCAGTGTACAGTTAAGTGTACAGTTAAGTGTACAGTTCAGTGGCATTTAAGTACATTCACATTGTTGTGCAACCATCAACACCATCCATCTCCAGAACCTTTCCTCTTCGTAAACTGAAACTCTGTAGCCATCAAGCAGTAACTCCCCACCTCTATCCCCAAGTCCCTGGTAACCACTGTCTTTCTGTCTCTATGAATTTGACTATTCTGGACACCTCATGGAAGTGGAATCATATGCTATTTGCCTTTTTGAGTCTGGCTTATTTTTTCACTTAGCATAATGTTTTCAAGGTTTATTCATGTTGTAGCATGTATCAGAATTTCAGTCATTCTTAATGCTGAATGATATTGCATCGTATGTATATGCCACATTTTGTTTTGTTATTCATCTGCTAATGATGCCCTGAACTCTTACCTTCTTTGGGAACTAGCACTTCAGTTGTCCTTTAAGAAATTACCTCTTCCCATTGTATTATTTTGCTGCCTAACAGATTATATAGCGCATTATAGCTTATAAAACACTAGATATTTTGATTCTCAAAACTCCACGTGAAATACAGAGTCGTAACCCTTATCTGAAACTCTTCGGGCTAGTGTGCTTAGGAATTCAGAGGTGTTCCTAATTGAGAAAGGTGATATAATGCATGTATGTTACACGAAAACCCTAACAGAATGAGGCAACACCTTGTAATTAAACATACTAATGTTTCTTTGCTGCAACTTGTTAATATTAATGCTAAATGAAATAAATAGGGCTGTAAATTAAATCACTTCAATACAAGTCTCATTTTATTAAATGAATATATAACAGAATTAGGAAAAACTAAGGTTTGCAGTATTTTGGGATTTTGGAATTGCGGCAAAGAACTTGTGGAGTTGTATTAGTAATGTGCCTGTTTACAGATGAGGAATTGGCAACTTGAGAGGTTGTGACTACTTGAAAAATAAGTGATTAAGCCAGAACTCATAGTCAGCACTTTTCACTTTGAAATTCAGTCCTTTTTTTCTTTTACATTATGCTGTGATTTGCTTTGAATGATAGATGACATTGGTTATATATAATATGAATTAACATGTTAAGATATTATATAATTACTTCCCATTTATTTACATGTAGATTTTTTCACTCATGTGTTCCACAGGTATTTTGTTTGTGCTACTGTCTGTAAGACACTGTGGAGATAGACAAAACCATGCTGCCACAACCCATTCTTTATCCACCTGGATTTTACCCTGGAACTTACACATAGGTTAGAAAGAACTTACGTTCACATGCCTCTGTTCTTTCAAATTTGGCAAGCCATGGGGACCAGGAACCAATTTCTTAGTCACATCTGAGCCCAGTGAAGGGAATCCTGCTTGTTTGCCCAATTGTTGCAAAAGGGATGTTTCTTAGTTATGTTGACCTACATTTATGTTACTTCGGTGCTGATTGATACCAGGATCTATTGAGTGCACAAGCATAGCTCTCACCACTTTACCATGCGTTGTGGAAGTTTTTTTGTTTTCCCCTAAGAGTCAGTTGTTAATTTTTTCTGGAATCTTTCCAGTTTATAATGGTCAGATGCCACTGAAAAAGAAAACTAATTTGCCTTTGTAGCGTAATGGAGGTTCAGTTGTGCTTTAAACAAAACAAAACAAAACCCAGGTGCCTGATTTTCTCCATGTGTTTTAGGTGCTCTTTATTTCTTCATTCTTACATTCATTTCACAAATATTTACTGAGTGCCAGTTAGATGTCCTTTTCTCACAGAGTTCATATTTGCATAGGATGACAGACATTCAAACTAGCAATCACAGTAAAAGTGAGATGTTATGCAGTGAGATTATGGGACATAGAGGACAGGAATCTAGCTCAGACTGGGGGTTCAGGCTTCTTGAAGAAAGTGATGCTCTACTGGGAACAGGATGAGTAGGAGTTAGCCAAACGAAGCTGCCGGGATGGAGGACGTGTTCTAGCCAGGGAGCATAGTACCTGCAAAGCCGAAAGGTTAGAAAGGGCTTGGTCCATGTAAGGAACGAAAGCTCTAGTGTTTGGAACATAGAATGCAAGACAGGATGGAGAAAGACAAGGCTGGACAGGTTAGCAAGGGTTAGATCGAGAAGGGCCTCGATGCCTTGTAGTGGAATTAAAGATTCCATGGTCTTAAGTAGCAAGGGCATATCATTAAATTTGTATTTTAGAATGTCAGTCTGGCAGACATGAAGAGGGGTTATGTGATACAAGGACAGGAGTCATGGCAGAGAGACCGGGAAGGAGCCTCTATTTTGATTCAGATGAGAGGATTGTGCTGGACCACTTCTTGACAGTGAGGAAAGAGAGAAGGAGATAGAACTAGAAAACAAATCGCTGATTGAATGACTTGGATTTTAGAAAGCTCCTAAGTCCAGGATTGTGCATCCACAAGTAAGTCCCCCTTATATTTCTGTTTTCTGCATGAGCAAACTGTTTTAGCCAGGAAATTCCAGATGAGAAGTGTCAGTGTTCCCTCAGGCAAACAGCGTGAAGCGGTATTTACAAACCAGTGAAATGCTGATGGCTTTGCCACTTCCTGGGTATTTGATCTTTTCCAAACTATGGACACTTGGTGCTTATTTGAGTGGAGGACAGTCCATTTAACTCTGACTCCAGCTAACCTCAGCATAAAATTCATCTCCGACTCCTATCACCACAACCACTGGAAGATACTTAGCCTTTTTGATATTAAGTTTTCTTAAACATAAAACATGAACAATAATAGCTAATACCTAGGGCCATCAATTAACGCCACTGTAAAGTAACGTCTGATTTTCCTCATTTTAGTGATAAGGGCCCTGAGGCTGGGGATGTTGGGAGAATCAGGGTTGTTAAAGGACCTGCCCCAAATCATACAGCTTGAAAGGGTGCAGTTAGGATTTGAACTCAGGTCCGCCTGACTTCAGAGCCACTCTGAACTCCCATAAACATTTTATTCTCATTATCCAACAGTGAATACGTTAATTCCTGCTGAATGTCACAGGATTCCCCTTCCCTCGTCTTTAGGATTTGTTGAACATCTTTACCAGGCCTTGTGTCTGATGCTATTTAATTCTTGTCACAAGCCGTCAGGAAGGCTATGTAATTCACTAACGTTCACACAGTATGTGGTGGAGGAGATATTGGAACTGCCTGCGTGACTGTTTTCCCTAATAAGCTAAGGAACAGCCTGATTGGAGTGGTCAGACTTGGAGGAGGCAACTGGAGAGCCTGAGAGACTCCAGGCAGCAGTGCTCAGTGTTAAATGTGAGAACTGACAGAATGGGCCGGAGATGCCGTGGGAAGCAGAGGTTTCAGTGTTCCCATTTTTTGTTTTAGGTGCTGTTACATTACCAAACTGTCAGCGTACCTGCCGTTATTAAACGACTGATTAGCGTCCTGAGCAAAAGCACGGGCGAAGTCACCAAGAAGAAGCCTAAGTGAGTGTTTTATGCATCCATAATAAGCACAGGGAATTCAGGCAGCTCTCTGACAGTTGAATTCATTTGTGTAGTATATCTTGTGGTGGTAAGTGAAGTCTGTTTTTACTTGTTCCAGAAATCATTTTTTGTCAAGGACTAGATTAAAACAGATGTGAAAACAAATGTTGAAGCTCCTGTTTAGTTAGGTATGAATCCTATATATAATTTCTGTTCTGTATGACGGTGGTGGGATGTGTATTGTAGATAAAAATGGAAATATTAACTTAGATGTATTCATGAAGTCCTAGATACTGACGATACAAAAATAAAGGCATTTAAAAAGTCCTACGTTTTAAAAGATGAATTTATGCCTAGCCACGGGTTCCAAATTCCAGCTGAGCATTTTTCTTCACTTCCTTGTCTTCTCCTTAATGAGAATCATTCCCTCTGCTGAGAACACCCCAGGAAGAAAGTGAACTAACTACACACTGTAGCTCCTAGTTTTTTTCCGCACCCAGAAAGTATTTTTCTTCGGCTCGAAGTCCACCTGGAGCCCTAAGCTGAGGTGATCGCCATCACGTTGGTCCCCTCCGATTCCCATTAATATCTAGGCCTAAGTGTAGACAATTCCCCTTTGGCTGGGGCAAGGTCAGGATTTTTCAAAGGAAGTGCTTCCTGAGAACTTAAGTTTCTTACCCTAATTCAACTAAAGGCTAACCACAGTTTGACTTGGCTGCTTCAGCTTTGGGGTTTTCCTCACTTCAGCCCTGTGGGGAATCCCACTCAAAATCCCCTTTTTTCAGTCCTTGTGCGTTCCTCCTCATTTGCACCTGTGTAAGAGGCTAAAGGTAGCTAGTGGGTTAATGGGTTGGCTGCAGGTGGAAGAGAGAAGCTTCACACTGCTCTAAACCCATGCCTGTTTCTCAGTCAGGAAGATGGGGTACTTAATCTCTCTTAAAGATAGTTCTTTATTTTTAACCTAAACTTTTAGCTTCTAGCATGAGTGTCTGCCATAATGTTCTGAGAAATGTGATGTAACTAGTAACTGACATTTCTTGAGGACCACTATTTTCTAGGCTTTGTCATGGATGCTTTTGCATGGTTTATATTCTCAGGTAACATGTGCCCATTTTTCAGATAAGGAAACAGGCTTAGAGAGAGGTTTATAATATGTTACAAAGCTAGCAAGTAGCAGAGTCAGGATTCTAACCCAGTGAGTTGCTTCACATAAATTATATTCTTTTTGGCAGGAGCCAGATTATTTGACCCAGACAAGTGATTTGGAGAATACTCAATCTGAAACTGGCTCACCCTGTCTAATCCTGAATTTTCCTCTTTCATCTCCTGCTACAAAGTTCTACCTCAGTGATGTTAGATCTTAATATAGTCTCGTGTTAGTTTTCCCTGTCACCTTATTTGTGACTTAGTCCTTTTCTCTTATTTTGCACCAACACCATTGAGCCTTTTTCATCTCCACTAACGGCACATTGTAGACTTGATTGCTTTACATGGAATGGAATTGAACTTTCTAGAAACTAAGTGCAAACTATGACTATATTAGATACTGTCCTTCCTAAGGAATGAGACTTTGAGCTGAAATTGTCTAAAACTAATATGTAGAAATTTTGGAATACTTTTTTAGAAACTTGTTTGTCTCATTCCGTATTTCCCTTAACTAATTTTTTAGAAGGTGTATTTAGGATTGCTTCTAGAGCACATCACAATTAAATTAGAGCACATTTTCAAAATGTCTCCCTTTGGGTTCTACCTCTTTTAGTAAATATGGGTGGGGCGCATGTATAAAGCTTTTGGTTTGCTTGCTTATCTGTATGAACCTGTTTACAATCAGTCCCATGCTCCATCCCCCTTCATTTCCTGCAAACATTATATTGTGGAAAAGTCTTAGGTGATTTTGTCCTGATCCTCTATTAAAGAACCACTGTTCCTATGTGAGGAAAGACAGAGGACGGAGGGAGAGAGATTTAGCGTAGTCTGTTGGTACTGGAGATCATCTTCTCTAAAGATAACTCCCTAACACATAATCCACCAGTTAGAATTTTACTAGGGCAGATACAGGACATTGCACCCCTCTCTTAAAGCGCAAGTGCCTCACTTTCTTTATTAGATAATTGAATCTCTCAGTTGCATGAGGAAATGAAAAGGCAGGCTTTGGTGGATAGTTTAGGTTATAGGGTTCTTTAAGGGATAGAGTCGTATTTGGAAGATTGGTGAAAAATGTATATGTGAACTAGCTAATAATTTTTAAAATCTAGAATTACTCATGTCATTGTTGTTAGCTAACCCAGAAAGATTCAAAGCACATATTTTCATGTTAAGAAAACTTTTTTTTAAAAAGCTTTTGAAAGACTACCATATTTCCCCATGTATACGATGCACTCTTCTTTGAAAAATTTGGGGTCTAAAAACTGGGTGCGTCTTATACAATGGTTGTAGATTTTTTATTTGCATTTCCTGCTTTTTTCATGCTTGTTTTTGTGCTCACTGTTGTAGATTTTTTTACTTGTATTTCCCAGTTTTTCGTGCTTGTTGTCTTTGCGCTCATTGTTTCGCACTTGTCACCGGTATATTACGGTAGGTTACGTTTTGCCACGTTCTGCCTAGAAATGGCTCAGAAAAGATTTTCGTACAGTGCTGAATTCAAGTTAAAAGTGATCCAGTTTGCAAAAGTGAATGGAAATTGTGCTGCTGAACGTAAGTTTGGTCCTCTTCCAACTGAGAAAACAATCCGAGACTGGCTACGTGAAGAAGAAACCCTACTGAAAACGCCACGGCAGAAGAAGGCCATGAGAGGCAATATATGAAGACAGTGATTTGTCATCAGACACCAATGAGGACAAGCTAATGGTTGGGAGTTTTGACAGTGACGAGGAGTTGTATGAATTTTATGATGAATAAAACTTGAGTTCAATAACTTTATGTAATACATTTTTTTTCAAATTTCGGGCCCCAAAATTAAGGTAATCTTATACGTGGGGAACGTCTTATGCATGGGGAAATATGGTAACTTGATTTGTCGATTGAGTATGAAGTATTTATTTTTCAGGTTGTTATTATACTTATTCATCTCTATTGTCTATCTGCTTGTTCCTTTTCTTTTCACCCTTTATAGATTGTTGACTAAAGGCCAGAATGCAATGGTAGAGCTACAGACACAAAGACCAATCGCTCTTGAGCTATACAAAGACTTTAAAGAGCTGGGGAGATTTATGCTGCGTTACAGCGGTTCTACAATAGCTGCTGGTGTAGTCACTGAGGTATTTTAAAGCGACTGATTATGTATCTGTGGTTATGATGTCTTTTCTTTTTCTACTCTTTAAGAATGATTACTGAGATTTTATAGCTTAGGGGGAACACAGTTATGGTATTAGAACAAGATTGAAAAATTTATATTAAAAAATGAAAGATGGAAAGCAAATGTTTGGTTTTAGAACTTCCTGCAGTGAGACTTCAAAACAATTTCTCCATCAGAAATATTGCTCAAAATGAAAGGAAATCCACTGAAAAATCTATAAGTACGCAATCTAAATTATGAGAATACAGACTTTAAGAGTCAGAAGAATTGGGGGGTAATAATTTCATTTAATAGAAGAGCCCTCATTAAATTTTTTTGTTTAAATAACTGGCTCTTGGGGCATGAAATGATTTGTTCAGAAAGTTCAATTAACATATTAATAATGTTGCTGAAACAAACCCATTATATAGTGTGAGTTGCAGTTAAGTTTTGGAGAAAATAGTCAGAAATGAACCAGAAAATTTAAAAGGGATTTATTAGTTTATATAATTACTTTCTGCGTGACACTTACTGGGTGTATACCTTGAACATACAGCCTTAGGTTGCATCAAAACTCAGTTATACATGTATCATGTAAAAGGCTCTGGAGCTAAACTGCCCAAGTTTGTGTTACTACTATACTGATATCTAGCAGCACAAATACAACATTTCTCCTTCAATTTATTCTTCTGTAAAAACAGCATAATAGAATCTATTAATACCTCCTAGAGTTGTGAAATGAAATGATCTGTAGAAAGACTTGGCACAGTCATTGTCACATACAAAGCATTCAGTAAATGTTATTTAGTATCATTGTCATCAGTATCACACTTTATCAAAGCGTTCTTTTATAAAAGAGCATTCTAAAACTAAGATTCAGTCTCTAGTGGAAAATAATGTAGAGATTATAGTTAATCTCAGAAATAGCATAACTGGGGAAGGGAACAAGTTGCAGGAAAAAGGAAAAACATTTCATCTTGATGTAATGATTTCATTGCCATTTTTCTTTTGTTATTGTTGTACTTATAATATGTTTGATGAAATTATAGCAAATAATGTTTTTCTCCTTTACAGATAAAAGAATGATGGGTCAGAATTTTACCATGTTTTCAAATGCAAGGAAATAGCTAACTTCTATTTTTAAAGAATGCAGTCATTCAGTTAAAGGAAGAATGTGCAATTGATAACTTTTTTAAGTGGGAGAAAATTAAAGTTACGATCAGCTGCAAAGAACTATTAATCATCATTCCTGCAAAAATTTCAAGTTGCCAACTGGCAAACGCTAATATTGGACTTTCATTTTAAAATATCATTTTTTAAAAAATGAAATGTTAGTAAGTGGATTTGCTTTGCTGAGATTTATGGAATCTGTCAGAAATATGTTTTAGAAGACTTGAATCATCATGAAATGAAATCTACTTCCAGCCAAACCACAGAAAGTTTACAGATTTCTTTTGAGTTTCAACTCGACTGCATATATTTTAAGGAAAAACGACCGAATTGTGTTGTTGAGGTAGTTAATATTTGACCTGAGCAATATATGTATGAATTTTTTTCTTTTGATTAACTCTAAGAAAAGATTTGCTAAAGGTCACAAGAAAAGTATTTTGTGTTGAGCCTAAGAATGTTGTTTCTCTAATAAGTAAACTTTTGAAAGATTAGTTTGGAATTAGTGGAAACTGTTCCTTTTGTGTCCAAGATATTATTTAAGGTGTAAAGCCAACTAATAAAATGCCTTAGTTTGAGCATAACAGCAAAGCGTGTTTTGTTTCTTGCTTGTTTGACATTCTCTATCACCATCACTAAATATGACTAGTGATTTTATGGGGTCTTTTCCACCTGAGTTTCCTGACTCTTTCACATGAATTCTCGCTTTTTATTCCAATAGCAGATCAAATTTAGTCTCATCCATTTCTAACCATAACTTAACTTTCTTTTTGTCATTCTCACTTTCAGAGTTACATACATGATGCCTTTATCTTGCACACCTTAAAGATTGTAAGTCCCCTGTGAATAAGAGTGACGTTTTTCTTAAAGTTTCAACAACAAACTCCAAGATATATTTAGTTAACAAGTGTTTGTTGAGCTGCCTCCTGGGTACAAGTTGCTTTAGAGTAGATTTTGTCCTCATCTGAGCCTGGCATTCTGATCTGATTGACTGTATGATAAACTTTATAAATTGGGAAATGGTGTGGTTTGTATACTGATGGCTTACCATATACAACAGCATTGTTTTCTTCTTCTTTTTTTTTTTAAGATTTTTATTGGGGAATTAGGGGGATAGGAACAGTGCTGGGGAATTGGGGGAAGGGGAACAGACAAGCTGCTGTCGTTTTGTTCTTCAATCTAGTTGTGGAGGATGTTGCTTCACTGGCCCAAGTTGGCACCATCATTGCGCTCTTCTCTGGCGAGGCAGATCAGTCGCCGGCTTCTGGACGACCGCTCACTGCGGCTGCTGGCCGCTCACGCTGGCTGCTGGCTACACACGGTAGCCCATGGGAACCCACTGCCACAGGGGCTGCAGCCTACGCCATCGCCGGCGACTCATGGCAGCCTAGCTCCAGGTTGAGCTGTTGTTGAGCATCTTAGCTGTAGAGGGCAGTGTCACTGGCCCTCATATGTGGGATCCGAACCGGGGCCCTCTGGCATCCCAAGCGAGTTCTTAACCATCGCGCCACTCGGCCGGCCCGCATTGTTTTCTTCTTAATTGAAGAATGCCATCATGGTAAAGTGCACAGAGCATAAATGCGCTGCTCAGTGAGTGATCACCACGTGAACACACCCTATAATACATTTCTTTACTAAAAATTATTTGTGTGGTTGCCACTTCGGAGTACACTTGCTAAGGTAAGATAGTGTTTATTTATTATATTCATCAGGAATATAACAGATACATCTGGCAGAAGCGTAATTGAAAGTGACTTAAGCCAAAAGGACAGGCTCGTGGTCAGTAGTGCTGGCTTGGAATCATTCTGGACCGAGCTGCTCCGTGTCAGCAGGGACTCACCTGTACTCTGTCTTCCTCAGCACTGATTTGGCCCCAGACTCCATACAGAACCCCTGTGATTCCACATTTAGACCCTCAGACCCTCATCCTGGGCACGAGCAGGCTAAAGAAGCATATCTTCTTCCAGAAGCCCTAGAAGCATCTCTGCGACTATTAGGTTGGTGCAAACGTAATTGCGATTTTTGCATTGTTGAAATTTGCCTTTGGTATTTGAATACATTTTAAAATAAATGTGGCTATATGATACATCATTTTAATGCGCATTTCTTGCTTTGTTTTTTTGCTCATGACTTATTACTTGCTGTTTATTTTCTATGTATTTTCGACTATGGAAATGATGTTAGACAAAAGCAAATTCAAGCAATTTTCCTATTTGAGTTCGAAAAGGGTCGTAAAACAGCGGAGACAACTCACAACATCAACAATGGATTTGACCCAGGAACTGCTAATGAACGTACAGTGCAGTGGTGGTTCAAGAAGTTTTGCAAAAACTTGTCTGTTCCCCTTCCCCGATTCCCCAATGCTGTTCCCCTCCCCCAATTCCCCAATAAAATCTTTTAAAAAAAAATGTTTTGCAAAGGAGACGAGAGCCTTGAAGATGAGGAGCATAGTGACTAGCCATCGGACGTTGACAATGACTAGTTAGTTGGAAGCAATCATCAAAGCTGATCCTCTTACACCTACACGAGAAGTTGCTGAAGAACTCAACATTAACCATTCTACAGTTGTTGGGCATTTGAAGCAAATTGGAAAGGTGAAAGTGCTCGATAAGTGGGTGCCTCATGAGCTGACCGCAAATCAAAAAAATTGTCGTTTTGAAGTGTCGTCTTCTCTTATTATTCTATGCAACAATGAACCATTCCTCGATCGGATTGTGACATGTGATGAAAAGTGGGTTTTATATGATAATCAGTGATGACCCAGCTCCATGGTTGGACCCAGAAGAAGCTCCAAAGCACTTCCCAAAGCCAAACTTGCTCCAAAAAAAAGGTCATGGTCACTGTTTGGTGGTCTGCGGCCGGTCTGATCCACTATAGCTTTCTGAATCCTGGCAAAACCATTACATCTAAGAAGTATGCTCAGCAAATCGATGAGATGCACCGAAAACTGCAATGCCTGCAGCCGGCATTGGTCAACAGAAAGGGCCCAATTCTTCTCCATGATAACACTCGACCATATGTCACACAACCAACACTTCAAAAGCTGAATGAATTGGGCTACGAAGTTTTGCCTCATCCACCATATTCATCTGACCTCTCACTGATCAACTACCACTTCAAGCATCTCGACAACTTTTTTGCAGGAAAAACACTTACACAAACAGCAGGATGCAGAAAATGCTTTCCAAGAGTTCAGCGAATCCTGAAGCATGCATTTTTATGCTATAGGAATAAACACACATTTCTTGTTGGCAAAAATGTGTTGATTGTAATGGTTCCTATTTGGATTAATAAAGATGTGTTTGAGCCTAGTTATAATGATTTAAAATTCATGGTCTGAAACCGCAATTACTTTTGTACCAACCTAATAAAATTGAGTTTAATTTCTTTTCTTGGGGTATCCTTGGTGTTGGATGTGAAGTGAGTATCACTCAACGCACAGAGCTGAGAATCATGGGAGGGCTGGAAAATGGGGAAAGGGAAGTGGATTGGCAGGGGTGGTGGCAAAAACAAGAAACATCTGCTCTGTATTATGTAAGACCATGATAGAATTAAGAATTTTAAATAATTTAGCATAAAATGAATAGCAGTAGCAGTCATACAAATGAATGAGTTTATTTCTTCTTCCTTCAATTGTGATAAAGTGCAGTCTTTTTATCCAAACATGTTTACAATTGTTGTCAAAGGGAGTAGTAATACTAAGAGGACCCCTGGGAGAAGAGTGATAGCAGTGGGGTTAAGTGACAAGAGGTACAACAAGCACACCCGAGCTTGGTTTCGGTCTGATTTCCTCCCCCTAAAACTTCAGACCATATTAAATAGTACATCCGTTTTGTGTCATTTTGTTTCAAGTACTTCTTGTCTTGACTTCTTCCTATTTATGGTTTCACCGTTTCTTCACATTAATGGTTTTGTCCTCTGCTCTAGACTGGGAGATTCTACTGATCCTGAAAACACTACAGATCCATGTTTTGAATTGTGTTTTTTTTCCCCCCATGTTCATTATTTTTGACAATATATGAGCCCCCTGTATTGTACGAGGTGTTTTAGAAAACTATTTCTGGACATAGTCTTTTTTCTTCCATGAATTTGCAGATCAGTGATAATTTTAACCATTGTTAAAATGTAGTAATTCACTTTAGAAAATTTGGAAAATACAAAGTAGAGGGAATAAAATTCACCCATAGTTCTATTGCCTAAATATTATTGCTGCTAACATTTTGATGTATTTCTTTTCCCTGCAGTGCAAATTTATTTCTTTTATATAGTTGTGATCATTAGTTAGGATCTTTTTATAATGTAGTCAAGATTTTTCAATAGAAATAATAGCTTTTTTAAATGATGTAAAAATACAAAACTACATGTCATGATGTATAGGAATTAGTCAAGATAATACAGCTAAAGGAAAAAAAAAAAAGCTTCCAGCTAAGAAGGCCCAATAAAAACTACTGGGTCGTCGTCTTCCAATTTCCCTCTAAAATATTCAAAGAAATAGGTGAATAGAAAAAAAGCATTCTTGCCTCCCTAAATATGAGTCTGCTGTGTTGTTGGCACAGGAGAGAGCTCTGGAGTTCAGGTCTTCATAGGGCTGACCGTCCAGCCAGGGTGGGGTTCTCAGTACCATAAACTACAAACAAGAATTAATAGTATGAAAACAACCAGGAGGAACCCCCTAAAGACAACACAGAAAGGACTAGGTGAGGGGGGGGCCCCATGAATTTTTACTTCTAGCAAAGATTCTCTTTGAGTCCAAGTACCTGAACCTGTAATCACAACCTCTCCTTCCAATTCAGAAATTAGTAGGGGGAGGGGAAGGCAAGTTTTGCATTGGCAAAATCCTCCAACAGGGCAGCTTTTGTCTTCCAAACTGGCGACATTCAAAACCCCACCAACAGTAAAAAACATTCTTTAGAACTCACCCCCAGTAAGAGCCACACTAATCAAAATCTAACGGGACGGAAGCTGGCACAAGCCCGCAGAGCCATGCACTGGACACGAGGGATGGATGCAAGAGGCAAGACGAGCCTCACCATAACCCTCACTGAAGCCCTTCAAAGCACTCAGGCATCAGTGGTCTTGCAAGCCTAGAAAAAGTGGAACAGATCGAGTCATCCACAATTTGGTTCTTTGAAGATGCCAAAGCGATTCAAGATTTAAAGGAAAAAATCAAAACTATAAAACACTAGGGTTGGGATGAGGCATATAGCTATATGTGATAAAGATAGTTAAAGTAGGCCCAGCTCTTGTGTTCCATTGCCACTTTCTCAGGGAACCCCTGGCCTCTGACCAATGTGAAGGAAAATGGGTTGCTATGAGCTTTCGTAGGAACTTGTCTCCCTATGCTTTCATGGCTGCAATTTTACATTTGTTTGTATGATTAATTATTGTGCTCTCCAGCCACTGAAATGTAAGTCCCAACAGGAGAGACCCTTTCTGTTTTGTTTACCATTATTTTTCAGCAACTGGTATAGTCCCTAGATTGTTAAATGAATGAAAGCATTAATGCTGGTGGTAGCATTATGGATAATTTTAAGTTCTTTATGTCTGCATTATCTGAAAATGACAAGCTTTTATTTCTATTGTGTG